TAAAATACTAAATATTAAAATACTAATACAAATATATATTTTATATAACTTTTTTATATAAACATTTTTAACATTTATCAATAATTTGTACATTTGGAAAAATAGACATGTTTATGGAGTTTAAACGTGTATTTATGTATAATTAATCAAATGCACATTGCTGTTTTCTTTCAACAGTTCCAACGGCAAAACAGTGACCTGGGCACAGAACGAGAGAAGTTACAGGCCAAACCTGTGGAAGCGGATCTCAATCCACATTAAGAAAAAAGAAGAGGCCAACCAGACGGCCATTATCAAGCCCTTCTCAAAGGGCTGTGATCGGCCTCCAGACCCCGGGGTGAAGCTGGCATACGACGGGTCTCAGAAAAACCAGCGCTACCCTGTAACCTACTGCCCCCGGACCCCTTCCCCGCTGCCGACCGTTTGCCAGCGGCCTTCGATGCAGAGGCGGGAAATGCAAGAGCGCGATGTAGAGCGTGCATCAGTGGTGGCTATACCCTCATACCTGACGGAGCGCCTGCAGCATGGCGCCCCGTCCCAGACGTGCATCATGGATCAGATCAGCTGTGTAGTCAATCGATTCACGGCCAACATCAGTGAGCTCAACAGCATGATGCTGCCCGGTTCACCGCCGGGAACAGGCGTAAACGCTGCCACCGCCCCGGTCCCCAGACCCTGCTCCCCTACTTTCCATCTCCACCCGCAAGAAAGGCCGCATCCAACCACCGTCACCACCTACGCAGACGTGGTGGCCGCAGCGAACACCAACCCTCGCTCCGCGGTCGGCATCGCTGGGGGCATCATCGCCGGTGGGAGTAGCCGGGCTTCACCCGCCAGCCTTTTTGACAGCACCTACGACTCTTCGTGTGTGGTTAGGACCACTGATTTTGAGGACCTGGGCGTCTTGACACCACCTTCGCCGTTTAGAGACTCCTCCGTGGACTCGATCAGCGAATCTCCCACATCGCCAGCCTCGGAACTGCCGTTGTGTGAGCCCTGCTCCCCGATATACGACCAGCTGATGCTTCGCCACTACAGCCAGAGCTCCTCTTCGCTCTGAGAGATTATTCGGAGCACAGGAAGGAGACAGAGAGGCAGCTACTGAGATCCTGCATCTGCTTAGATTGCAAAACCCAGCTGTAAATGTCAAGGAGTGTAAACTCTTAATATAGAAGCACTCGCTGAGGACGTTTTATGGTGCTTGGAATCCAGCCCGTCCTCAAAATCCCAATCTGCGTAGGGGAAGGCACTTCACCAAACTGCTTTTCAGATAATTAAGGATGTACTTGATATGCTCTTGTGCACTAGAGCGCTCTGACAAGTTTATGGTCCTTCTTGGCAAGAAGTTACTGATGTTGGTCAGTTTGTGTACTGCAAGTTTTCATGGCTTTACAGCTACTTAATAACATTCCAACGACGTCAATCTACACAGGTGGGAAAAATGACAAAACTCCTGCTCCAGGCGATGTCTTTTTTATCTCTCTTTTTGCCTGTCAGCAAGATGCCTGAACATCTTGCACGGTTCTTCACGTACAACGGAAGCGCAAACGGTTGAATGTAGGACCAAATGAAGCCTTTGAGCTCAAAGTAGTTTGTTTAAATATGGTCATTTTTGTTATTTCCTAGTTTAGAGGTTGCATGTTCTGCCACTTCATATAACTTCATATAAAATAATATTTATTGAACAAATCTAACACTTTAATATAGATAATATGTCTTTCAGATGACTGGATTTATTTATATGAACATGTCCCAGTATTACTTGAGGTATTTACAGTTTTTCTCAATTGCTTTGGCACATTTTTCGAAACAAATCTTTAACTTTAATTTGAAAGATGGGATTTGAGAAAATTATACAAACTAATGGGAGATTCAAGAAAACTCAACTATTTACACTACCACTTAAATGTTTGGGGTGAGCAAGATTTTTTTAAAGAAATTAGCACTTTTATTCAGTAATAATATTCAGTGTTTCTGTTTTAATGTATTTTTATCAAATAAATGCAGCCTTGGTGAGCATAAGGGACTTCTTTCTAAAACATTTAAAAAAAATGTAAAAAAAATTACTGACCCCAAACATTTGAATAGTTATGTAAGTTAACAGATTATTTATACATAAAGCAATATATGTGAATGCAGGGCCTATTCCAAAAATATAATAATTCCATTTGCAAATTATTTCCTTTTTTAATCCACTCAGGCTTTTGTTCCAAATCAATACATACAGTAGATGAGCCAAAAACTAAATTCCCATTCTTATTACACTGTGGACATGATTCTTACACACAGGGCATTACAGTTTTCATTGACAAAGCCTATAAACCACATGAAAGTCTCCAATTAAAGATATGATTTTTGTATGAACTTTCTTCATAAAAATTTAAATGAAATCAATGTGCAATATTCTTCTTGAATAGGTGTAATGTACTAAGGTCACATGTTTGCATGCAAAGCAGTGCCATTAGCTGAAATAAGTGCTTAATGTTCTTTTGAGAACTTTTGTACATTTTGTAAAAGTCTTTTGCATTTTACGCTCTCTGCCTTTTCTGACAAGACATTCATAGAATGTAGGTTTCAGCCGTGTGTGTGTGATGTATTTTTCTACTAACTATTTGTGCTGATTCAATATGATGGTCATAGTGGATTAAGCTTTGTGACAGTGGGACGAATGTAGCTTGCAATATTTCTGTTACTTCGAGGTTTCAGTTATGGTGTGGATAAGCCTTTTTTAATTCTCTTCAATGCGTGTAAAAATATTGGTTTTACCTGAGTGTTATTAAAGGGGACTCAATTACAAATGTTTTTTTTCTTTAATCATTATATATATTTTGTTTTTTTTTTGTTTTTTTCAATGTGGATACAGTATAATCACAAAATGAAGTCTTTGGAGCTGCTATGCACCACGACTGGAGTTTGTGTGGTTGTGTTATTTTCACAGTTTCCATGATGATGATGATGGAATGCAGTTCCACCCCCTCTTTAGTCTCTTCCTTTATGTACTTCTCTCTCTCTTTATGTTAGAGTACATGCACATGGCAGAAGGACAGACGGACGGACGAATAGATAGATAGATAGAATGTCAGACAGACAGATAGATAGATAGATAGATAGATAGAATGTCAGACAGACAGATAGATAGATAGATAGTCTGAATCTAACTCTGAATGGCAGTATATTTAGTGCACATGAGCAAACAGTTTGTCTGACAGCTGGTCACAAGTTTCCCCACGCCCTGGGCGGTGCCAGTTTAAGTTCAATGACAGATGACTAGTTAGTGTGATAAACACTGGACACACAAATGTCCTCAGCGATGCATAGCAATCGGAAAGAGCATTTGTACAAAATCCTTGTCATCGGTGATTTGGGAGTAGGGAAGACCAGCATCATCAAACGGTATGTGCATCAGACGTACTCCACTAACTACAGAGCGACCATCGGGGTGGATTTTGCGCTCAAAGTTCTCAACTGGGACTCAGAGACCGTCCGGCTGCAGTTGTGGGACATCGCAGGTAAGCGAAAGTAGGCTATAGCAGTGTGTCAAAGCCAAGACATATCCGTGTCAGCATTCATTAAAAATATGCAAGAAATGCAAAAAGTGCTTTTATTTTTAAGTACCACACAACTCGCGTGCATGATGGAATTGTCTCTAATATTCATGTAGGCCTATTGTTCCTTAAAAACTATTACCACAGTAACCATAGATTCAGTCAAAATAATAGTTACAGCTAGTGTTACTGCAATAAAACTGAGAGGTTAGCCACAAGTGTCTTTAAATAAATAACTCTTCTTACACTTAAAACGTACACTGTAAAAAATATTCGTAATTTTAATGGAATAGGCTGTAAGCTTACCATATAGGTTAAAAATGTGTAGGCCTATGCTATTTTAAAAGAAATGTAATTTAATTGCATTGGTTGTATCACTAAATTTTAAATTTGACTACCTTAAAGTTTTTCTTTATAATATTATTTAATAAGGCATAATTTATAAGGTTTAAGATAAAATATTGTTAACATATTGTTAACATTATCATTGATTTTATAAGCATAAATTCCCTGCGTGACTGTCCCGTTAGTTTAGATTTTAACAAAAACATTCAGCTTTTGCTGACATTATTGACTGTCAGTTAGGAACTTTAAAATACAGCCTTATAATTTTGTAACGATGATAAATTATTAGCTATTTCCCTTACGAAAATTAACCATAGGCTAGATTACTACAAATAAAACCAAAAAACAGGGTAACCATGGTTTTGCTACACTAGCCATGGTATTTGTAGTAAAACTGTGGTTATAAAAATGTTAATCATTCGCCAAAACATGGTTACTACACTTTTACTATAGTAAAATCATGGTTAATTTTCGTAAGGGTTGGTTTTGTAAGGTGGAGATCCGTGAAACTTTAAAGAGCAGCTCTTTGTCAATATCAAATTAGTCCATTACGACTTAACGTCGTTAAGTTTAATGTTAGTTGATCTTGTTCTGCGACAAAATATGTTCCCAAACCAGAAACTTTTGCTCGTTCCTGTTATCGTCCTCCTCACGTGTCAGGCACGCGCCGCTGAGAATTGGTTTTCCGCGTGCCCGCTCGGAAAGGTCTCTCATGTGAGCGAGATTGAGAGATGTAGCACGCGGATGAAACTGGGGGGAAATCTCTGTAAACAAACCACGGGCAAGTGTATTTCCAGCACTTACTGCTCTCAGTCCTCAGCTACGGTACATTTCACTTTAAAGGGGTCATATGATGCGATTTCAATTTTTCCTTTCTCTTTGGAGTGTTACAAGCTCTTGGTGCATAAAGAAGATCTGTAAAGTTGCAAAGACTAAAGTCTCAAATCCAAAGAGATATTCTTTATAAAAGTTAAGAGTCAGCCACACCTACTACTTAAAACGGCTCGTTCTAACACGCCCCACATACCTACATCACTCTGTGGGAAGATTTGCATAACGCCGCCCAAATGTTCACGCAAAGAAAGAAGGCGTAACTTTTATTCACGCTAGTATTGTTGCCGCTGCCGCCATGTCCCGCCGCCTCTGCTCACTCTAACCCTCCTGCCGTTCCTCACGCTAACTCCCGGCCTCGGCTCACTGTAGGCCGCGGTGTGTGACGTTGTTTCGTTGTGAAAGCGAAACTACTTTGTTTGGCCTTCCAAAAATGGACACAACTAGAAAT